TAGCAATTTATACCTTCCAGGTATCATTGGAAGTAGAATTATACAGTTTTTTTTATGACTTTTTTTGGACAAAATTTTTTGCTTTTGTATGGACAAATTACTAAATAGAAATATAATGCTAGCCTACCATTTTTGTGTTCTGGCCATCAAAGTGCATGTGAGCTGACCTAGGAACCTGAGACAAATTTTCAATACCAACTTAATGATCTCATGATGGGTCCACATTATTGCTGAGCAGGTTGAATGACTACATCTTGAAAACAAATGGCTATATATACTGCCTTCTAGACTAATGCTATAAATAATGGACTTTGGTTACAATGGTATTTTATGCCCTTTGGATTGGTCAGAAAATGTAAACCTGGCTATTTAGCCTTTTATATACTACTGAGAGGACATCAGGCTGAGAATGTTGAATGATATCAACCTAATCTGACAATTGGTAACAAAATGGATTAAAAATCTATTGTAAAGCGCTGAGCAAACTGTTGACGCTATATAAATCCTGTCTAATATAATAATAATAATAATAATAATTGTGTTTTGAAGTGCCCCAGTAAACGTGATGTGTTTCTGACCTATTGCATAAGTAACCTTTTTTTAATGCTTATTAATAAGAATTTTCCTACTGGCAACAATCCAATATTATTATTTATTATTCTTATTCTTATACAGGACTTGTATAGCACCGACAGTTTGCTCAGCGCTTTACATTATGGAGGGAGACAGTACAGTAACAATACAGTTCAATACAAGAGGGATTAGAGGGCCCTGCTCCTTGGAGCTTACAATCTAGGAGGGAGGGGATATTTAATGACTGGAGTACAATAAATTGTATTTATGGTCATCTTGCCATAGGTGTAGGTATTACTATATATTTTCTTACAGATGATCTGATGTTTAGTTTTACCGACTCCTTTAATAAATCAGGAACCATGTGTGATGACTCTATAAGGTGCCATAATGTTTCAAATAACAATCACTTCCTAGTGTTTTAAGTAGAATAATGTAATTTTTTTCATAATTTCTTTGAAAAGGACATTTCAACTACCTTTCCTTGACTGGATAAAATACGAAGAGTAGTAAAGAATTGTTTGTCTAGGCTATCGGTATTGTGTTTTGTCCATTTAAGTGAATGAGATCTCCTAGGTACCCTAGACAAATTTTTATATTTCAATGGTTTTAATCATTTTTAAACAGTGTAAAACAGAGGCAACAAAACACGCCCACGCAGAGGCTATCAATCGCATAGATAAAAAAAAATGCAAAATAAAAAAACAAAACAAAAACAGTGCTCTAACGCCAACAGGGCAAAAGGTGCAGGGGCTATCAATGGCACATAAGTTACAAAACATTAATGTAACTGACTATAACCACTAAAGGCAGCTGTCCACTGTCATGCCAAAAACAGAGAAAGGAAGAAAAAAACAAAAAAAAAAAAACCCCAAAGAGCAGGGGTCCAAGAGCGCCAATACCAAACGCCATTACATCCCCAGACTAGCCGGGGGGAGCGTGGGAAAGGCATATTGCAACCACGGCTCCCATATTTTCAAAAATTTACGAGTCGTTGCAAATACTCGACATCTGTTCGTTGAGCATCATAGTGGTCATCCGATCTCGCAACCCCTGAAGAAGGACAAACGGACTCCTCCAGGCCTGAGCAATTGTTCTAGTGGCCGATAAAAACAACTAGACAAATTTTTGATACCAACTTCTTTTGACATCATGATTGGCCAACATACAGTGGGCATGTTGAATAACCACAATATAAATGTGTATATAAAACCTCTCCTTTTTATATGCTGATGTTTTTACCCATTAGAATTTCTTTAACTGGTTGGATTACAATAAAGTGAAATATAGTTGATCTGGATCTCTCCACAGTGCGCGATAAGCTCCGATCTGCATAGTGATTTTAGGTGAAATGTTGTTTGTCCAGATTTTACTACAAGAGGTGTGTAAATTAAGCAAAAATGTATCCATGGCAATAACATTTTAAATTCCAGAGACATGCAGTAAAGGTTATGATAAAAGAGAATGTTTGATGTAGGGCTTATCCAGTAAAGGCAATCAACTGAGACAGGCATACGATGCCAACAATGTAAACTCTTTGCTAGGAAAAAAAATGTTTGGAGAGTTAAAGATAATAGAGGATTAATTGGGTAACAGCAGCCTAACCAACATTAGATTGATATGGGCCATAGCCAGGAACAGTTCAGATTTTAATATCTTTTACTTTTCATCCAGATAGTGGATGAAAGTAAACACACACACTCAAAAGTTTGCGTACCCTGGCAGAAATAATGAAATTTTGGCATTTATATTGAAAATATGACTGATCATGACAAAACTGTTTAAGGATAGTGATCATATGAACCATTTATTATCACATAGTTGTTTGGCTTTTTTTTTACATCATAACAGAAATCACCCAAATGGCCCTGTTTGAAAGTTTGCATACCCTGGAATTAGGGATGCACCAAAACCAAACACTGGTATTGGCGCTGATACCTTGTATTTTCACAAGTACTAGTGAAAATGCTCCCAATACCAGAAACGGATACTTTGCAGTGCGATTTGCGTCAATACAAATTGCACCACAGAGATTAGCATGCGATTTGCACAGTAATACGATTCCTATGCAAATCGCATGTGGTTTCCCCTTTTCTCCTGTGTGGACCCCAGATTGTCATAGCCTGATTTCACACAGGAGCGTGCAGGAACCCTTGCAGGGATCCATTGCTGAGCAGAGAGTGGGAGTGTGGGGATGTATACTATGAAGTTAGATGCTCCCATATTCTCAGCAATAGGAGAGAAGGCAGCGGGGATTTGAAATCCCCGCCGTTTTCTCTCCTCTCCTTGGAAAGGATGACAGTTTGGGCTAGAGGGCATCTGATTGGTCAGCACAGTCCATGTGATGATGCTGACCAATCAGATGCCTAGCCGTCTAGCCTGTACTGTCATCGCTGCAAGGAGAGTTGCTTCACAGGTCTGGGGATTTCAAATCCTCGTGGCTTTCTCTCCTCCTTGCAGCGATGAGTACAGGCTAGAGGGTATCTGATTCGTCAGCACCGTCAATGTGGCGGTGCTGAGCAATCAAAAGCCCTCTAGCTTGAACTGTCATCCCTGCAAGGAGAGGAGACAAAGTGTTGGGAATTGCAAATCCCTGCCGCTTTGTCTCTTCTCCTATCGCTGAGAATATGGAGCATCTGCCACTGTGGTATATATCCCCACTCTCCTACTCTCTGCTGTGGGAAACCTCCCTGCACCGCTCCTGTGTGAACTCAAGTTATGACAGCCTGGGTCTACACAGGAGCAGTGGGGAAACCGCATGCGATTTGGACAGCAATATTCTTTCTGGTACAGTTTGTGTCCATACATTTTTTGTCTGGACTCAAATCGCACCGCAAAGTATCAGTACTTGACAAAGTATTGGTACTAGCTGTTTTTTTTTTTATTTATTTATTTTTTTCATTTTTTATTTTTAAGGGGGGGATTGATGCATTTCCTACCTGGAATGTTTTGGTCTTGGTACAGGTGCACAAGGTGACACACACAGGTTAAAATGGTAATGTAAAGGGTAATTTCCCACATCTGTGACTTTTTAAATTGCAATTATTTGTGTATAGCGGTTGAGTTTGTTAGCTGTCACGTGAATGCAGTGAGCAGGCTAGATACTGAGCCATGGGGAGCAGAAAGGAACTGTCAAAAGTCCTGTGTAATAAGGTAATAGAACTTTATAAAGATGGAAAAGGATATAAAAAGATGTCCAAAGCCTTGAGTATGTCAGTCAGTACTGTTCAAATCACTGATTAGGAAGTGGAACGTTCGGGGATCTCTTGATACCAAGACAAAGTCAGGTAGATCAAAAGCAATTTCAGCCCAAAAAAATGCCAGAAGTATTGAACAGAAAGAAGCCTTTATTATTCCAAAGAGCCTGGTGAAGTGTCAAGATGGTGTTGGGCATATTGGGTTTTTTTTTGCTTTTTTTTTGCTTTTTTTTCCTCCCCCCCTCTGTGTCTGGTTTTCTACCTGTAATTCTTGGTTGTTCTGTAGTTCTTGTACTTTGGAACTGTTGTGTGTGTTTTTTTTTTTTTTTTTTTTTTTTTTTTTTATCAATATCCTTTTGTGAAGGTAATACAAGCAAGAAAAACTTGTTTTTCTCCTTTCTGTTTATATTTAAAATGCTGGAATGACTTGTATATGTGTATAGTCATGCTAACGGACAAAGGGAGGCATTTCCTGAAGTGGTAGAAAGGGTTGTATTTTGGAGGTTTTTGAACTTTTAGTGGTTTTTACACTGAAGTTAGCTCATGAACCTAGTTCTTAATAGAGAATGGTGATCTTTTCTTGGCCTCAAGATGCAACACAGAAGAGAATAAATCCAAGATACCTATGTACACAGGGTCTTGTCCTGCTGCCATGGAAAGTTTTTAAAAGTTATGGGTTTATTTAATAACCTACTGCAAACAGTTGTATTGCACAATAAACCATAGTAACAAGCCTTGTGAATGCTGATGTGTTGCTGTAGATTACTGTGAAAGAATGGAAAACTGTTGTGAACTACATAAGCTGTCATTGTTAGCCACCTCCTGAAAATGCTAGTTACCTGGCTGTCATGCTGTTGCAGAGGCATTAACACTTTGAGCCACTGATCGAAAACAGATATGCAGTAACTGAAGTCAGAGTTCCTAAATGTCTCTATCTGGAGCATACTTATTTAAAAATAACTTTTTTTATATAAAGTTAGATGACACCCCCATGTGACCATTGCTTGGGCCTGGTGGTTGGCTGCTCAGGTATCAATCAATGAATTCACTTCGTATCTGGGAGGAAGTATATGTTTAGATTTGTACCCTACTTAAAAATACTGGAATTCTCACTAGGCTTTGTCTGCAAGTTGGGGGAGCACATTCTACTTAATGGTGCTGGCTATACAGTGTCCGTCTACTTGTGCATGAAAAAATAATTAACATATTGCTGTATTTACTCAAATATAGGTAAAAACTGTATCGGCCAATCCTGAAGCCATACCTGCAATGTCAGAATACAACGAGAAGGTCAATGGATCCGTTATGGATTATAGAAGTGTGAATGGTGGGCAACCCTATTCTGATCACAACACTGGATCACGCGTGTAAGTATAATCCTTTACATTACTAACAATTTAATATTCGGAATCTATTGCATATAAAAAGCATTTTTTTTTGTATGTGATATGTAGATTTGTCAACGGCTTTGATTATCATTGATGGTTTTAAACTACCACAGTGATGTTTTTTTCCTAAAGGCTGTTGACATGAAGTAACATGTTGGGTTATGCATGTTAGGTATGTAATGTGTCTGGCTTATCAACTGCAGCCTGAGAAAATTTTTACATACAAACATTGTATAGTTACAGACCAAAAAGGAGCAAATAAGAAACAATCAATATTGAGGATAATCTGTCCTTTTTTTTTTTTTTTTTTAAAGCAGAGCTCCAGTCAAAATGTAAAAAAAAAAAAAAAAGTCAGCAGCCACAAAAACTAGCTGCTGATATTTAAAAGGCACTCGCCTGTCCCTCGATCCAGCAGTGTCCTCACTGCAGCCAGTTTCATGAGCCGTCCTCTCTCCCTGGTGCCGGCATCTTAAGTTTGGACACCCAGCTGTATGACAGCTTGCGGCTTCAAAGCCAGGTGCCCACTGTGCATGCCCGAATAGCACTGCGCTTTTTGAATGGTCCCATAGTTTTCTGGGACCTGTAAAGTCCCAGAAGACTACAAGAAGGGAGGACAACTTCCACTTTCTATCGCCTAGGCAGAAGTGGAATCAGATACCTGTCAAAATTGTGTACCCGCTCCCCACCCTACTCAAAGGTGCCAATCCTTAACAGGGAGCGGGGGGATGAGGCCTTAAAGTGGAACTTCCCCTTTTGGGTGAAAGTCTGCATTAAGAATAGTAAGAATAACAGTTTGACTGCTGTTCAAGAATGATGCTTGAAATGTGTGCTTCATACCTGCCAACTTTTGAACTTGACAATGAGGGACACTTTAAGAAGTATGCATGCGTAACATGGGTTTATTTGGTGTTTTGGGTATGGACCAGGAGATGATTTCAAGGGAAAGAGTTTGCAGATAGAACAAACTTGGTGGTCTGCAAGGGTGCACCATAACTTAAAGACATGTTACATTGGGTAGTGTCAAAGGTGGTTCAAACTGATTCTATCCAGGGACTGTCCACAGTCTGTCTGCCATTGCAACTCTGGTAACTCTATGCAGCCTTGAGCAAAGATGATTGCAGGTTATGCTAATATCTTAAAACACATGATGGTGTCATTAAAGTACCAGGAAGTGTGAGTACTTGGTGTTAGTAATCTGAAGAACAATGGCTTTTTGGTTTTAAGAGGAATAATTTTATTTCTCTGCACTTTTCTCCCTATTAGGATCCCAGAAGAAGTACTTCCAGTAAGGAATGAGTATGGATTTTCTCCAAATGCTTACAGCAGCAGCTCAGATGCAAGTAAGAAAGCTCCACCCGCCATAAAAGACCAGGAAAAGCCAGGAGATCTCCCAATGAGAATTATGACACGGACTATAACACAGGAGGAGAATCTGGAGAGGAGCTGGAGGATGACGACTGGGACAGGTATTATAAGCGCAATGTGTTTAGTTTGCGCTTGTAAACACTGCTCTGAGGAATGCTGGATTATTGTATCCAACCCTAGGACCAAATTGTAACCCAAGAAAATAATCCAAAGCTTTCCAGTCCTCAGATGCAGTGACTACAATCCTTTTTTCTTTTTCAGGCATTATTAGTTTTTTGCCAGTTGATTCTGCCAGGTGTCTTAGGGTGACAACACTCGCCAACTACTATATCTATGAGGGTGCAGTTCTATCACTCTAGGATAAGACTACAGAACACCTTCCACGCTCTCTTTCTACATTCTTTGCCCTTTTTTTTCTCTCTTCTCTGTAATGTAGATAGGTAGCCCGCTGAGATAGCTGAGAAAAACTTTAACTACAGTGCATTCAGAGAGTATTCTGACCCCCTTTCACTTTTTTCAATTTTGTTATGTTGCAGCCTGATACTACAGTTGTTTAAATAATTTTTTTTTTTTCCAGTCATCTTCCAGGACAGCACACCTGAGAGAGATGGATAGTTCCACCTGACAGGAAACCCAATCAAAAATTGACAGTTTAAATCCCTCACCCTTTCCTTCCCTCCTCAGTTTTTGATTGTTTCCTGGCAGCGAAACGTTTATTTTTTTTTTTTCTGACCAAAGGCCTGGGGCCGGAGTGTCCCCCCTGGGGGGTGAACAGCTGATCTGGAGAGGGCAGGCTGCACCCAGGGTCACTTGCCCACTCCAGGGGTTTTCCCAACTCAGGGAACTTCTCAGACACCATGAAGGAGTGCCTGGAGTTCCCGGAACAAACGTCCTTCCTCCCTCTCCTTCAGGACAGCGGTAAGGTCTGTCCAAGAGAGGACTGGGCCGTTAGGTCACTCTCGCGGGTATAGGATTGTGGCCAGCATTGCTGGTTTACACCTGGGAGCTCACTCGAAATCTCGGCGGCTATAAAGTGGCGTCTGGGTAGCTGAGGACAGGGCGACAGCAGATCCAAGGTGGGCAGAAGGGATCAGCTCCCTGAGTCTTCTGGATGGTGTAGGACAGGAAGTAGGAGCGGGGCTGCATTCCAAGCCTCGCTCTGTTACTTCTGGTGGGGACAGGACTTCCGCCCTAAAGATGGTGGTGCTATCCTTCCTGATGAGGACGGTGAAGAGCCTCAGGAATTTACCCCTGGAAACGGGTCCAGGGCCCGGCGAAGGCAACACAGTCCCAAAGGAGCCCTGCTGTGATGGAGGAAAAGGCAGTAGTCCTCACCCACTCCCCTACAGTGTGCTTTTTAAATGGCCCCGTTCATATCTCCACGTAGTGAAAACTCACATTCCCACATGCGTTTGTTTTGGGTGTTTTGGAGCATTTTCACTTGAATGGGCTGACCTACACTCATCAATCGCCCCAGAGAAGCTCCAGGACTTTTTTTTGGAGCGGAGCACAGTGCATTATCAGTCTTTGGTGCGTTTGCTGCACTTAGGATGCTTTTTAACGTGTAATGACAACACAAATGCGATGCACATTTGCAGTGTGTTTCTGAAACGGAAGTAAAGCATGCATTTTCTGTGCAGATTGGCATGCGTTTGTCAACGCAAAGATGTGAATGAAGCTTCATTGTTCTTGTGTGAACAAACAAATTTCACTTTCAGGGCCCATTCATGCCTAGAGTAGTGGGAGCATGTTTTTTTAGCTTGAGTGACACTAATAGGGCAGCCCATTGATTTCAATGGGCTGCTCTACATGTGGCAAATAAGCTTTATGGGACATTCTGGCTTGATGTGGGTTGCATGGTTTTTACTGTGCACTTTGCTGCATTTGTCACTTTTTTTTTTTTTTCACGTGGAAAAATGTATGCTTTGTTTCTGTGTTTTTTGGTGTGCCATTAACAATGGTGAAAACGTAACTAGTTAATTTTAGGTGTATAAATCTGATTGTACAATCTCCTTTTATTTCACCAAAACTATATCATAGGAGGACACGCCATCTATCCAATCATTGTGTATCTGACAGGTCCTTGCACCACATAGACGATGGTAGATCTAAAGGAGATTATATGGTGAGCTTTACAGAACCCAGGCTTCACTCCTGGTTTTAGTACTACAGCTCTATCCATGTAGGCTGTTATCTGATCGCTCATCTCCTGCGCACGCTGCTAAATGAATGATCTGTGCAAAATGAAATTAAGTCTGGCCATACATTATATAATTTACTTATTCAATTTTCTTTAGCTTTACCTTCAACTATGTAGTGCAAGGGCCTGCCTGATTGCTTACAAATTTGAAAGTGTTAGGTTTGACCTCATTTTATATGGTTTGGTAAATTTAAAGACATAATACAGGAGGTGTGTTACTGGCGAGATCTCCAGGGTAAAAAAAGCCTAAAAACTAATAACTAATGCAACTACCACATATGATTTGGTACGGGGCAAATTACATTTTGGGTTTTAATAACACTTTTAAAGTTAGATAATTCAGGCAGTTGTATCGTTGTGCATTGGCCCATGTGACCAATGGCTTGCAGACGTTTGCTAACCACAATTTTTTTTTTCTTTTTTTTTTATACAGTGAATATCCTCCTATTACTGCAGAACCACAGAGACAAGAGTACAAGAGAGACTTTGATTCAGGCCTGCAGGAATACAAGAAGCTACAAAGTGAACTAGATGATGTCAATAAATCCCTATCCAGGCTGGACAGAGAATTGGACGAACATCCAGAGGGGAGCCAGTCATACAGGGTATATTTTAATGTAGTTATGCACCAGAGACTTTATAGCAAATTTCTATTGTATTTTTGTAGCGATTTCATATATGTACCGTATATACTCGAGTATAAGCCGACCCGAATATAAGCCGAGGTACCTAATTTTACCACAAAAAACTGGGAAAAACTATTGACTCGAGTATAAGCCCCATCATTAGTATCAGTGGGAGGAATAGTGCCCCATCATTGGTGTCAGAGGGAGGAATAGTGCCCCATCATTGGTATCAGTAGGAGGAATAGTGCCCCATCATTGGTGTCAGTGGGAGGAATAGTGCCCCATCATTGGTGTCAGTGGGAGGAATAGTGCCCCATCATTGGTGTCAGTGGGAGGAATAGTGCCCCATCATTGGTGTCAGTGGGAGGAATAGTGCCCCATCATTGGTGTCAGTGGGAGGAATAGTGCCCCATCATTGGTGTCAGTGGGAGGAATAGTGCCCCATCATGGTGTCCGTGGGAGGAATAATGCCCCATCATTCGTATCGGTGACACCAATGATGCGGCACTATTCCTCCCACTGACACTTGCTGACCCCTGTTGCAGTATGGTGGCTGCATGGCATATGTGGCATATGTGGTTGCAGCAGCACCTCTGCACTGCACACTCTACCGGCTTTTCCCTTACTCGATTTTCGCGGGTCCGCTCGGCTCCGCCTCCTCGCCCGTGATTGGCCGCCTGTGTACCTTTCCTGAGCTACAGTTCTGGCGGCCAATCACCGGTGAGGAGGCGGAGCCGAGCGGCAGGAGTGAGGGAGTGGCCGGAGTGACGGAAGGAGCAGCGCTTCCTGGATGGATCATCGTGGGAGCCAGGTAAGAGACAGCAGCCCTCTGCCCACCCCTGTACGCGCCCCCCTTGACGGAGCCTCGCGCCCCCCAGGGGGGGCGCCCCACTATTTGAGAAGCACTGGCTTTAGAAGCAGCGCCCCCTGCTAGACATCTGCAGACGTTGACTCGAGTATAAGCCGAGGGGGCCGTTTTTCAGCACAAAAAATGTGCTGAAAAACTCGGCTTATACTCGAGTATATACGGTAGATGTAATGCTCTGAGTGTATTTTCACCACTCACATGCGTTACTTTTATGCCTGCAAGCTGTGTCCAAAAAGCAGTCGTATAACATGCACACACTTAAAGCGGAGCTCCACCCAAAAGGGGAAGTTACGGACTGTCTCCCTGCTCCGCATTAAGGATTTCACCTTGGGGGAGCGGGTACCCGAATTTGACAGGTACCCGCTCCCACTTCCGGTCCGATCGCCTAGGTGATTGGAAATGGAAGGTGTCCTCCCTCCCTGTAGTCTTTTGGGACACGTGACAGGTCCCAGAAGACTACAGTACCATTCACAAAGAGCAGTACTACTCGCTCATGCGCAAGTGGGTACCCGGCTGTGAAGCCGGAAGCTATCACAGCAGGGTGCCCACACTGAAGATGTCAGCCTCCTGGAATATAGGACGGCTGATGAAACGCGCTGTGGGGGACAAACCACGGGACCAAGTGACAGGTAAGTGGCTGTCTTTTAAAAGTCAGCAGCTACAGTTTTTATAGCTGCTGACTTTTATTTTTTGATAGGTCGAGTGGAACTTTTAATGGCAGCCTCCATTCAGTTGCTGGTATGGTTTTGCAATGTAGAAGGCAACTAGAACAACCAAACAGAATCCACACAAAACAATCCGACTTCATGCAAATGGGAACCTAGTAGGATTTTTACTCAGGACCTCAACCCTGTAAGCCAGTGTACAGCCAGACTCCCAAAATCATGTAAACTCTTTACAGGGGCAAGAGACCCAACATGGTTGGACCTCTTGTTTACTGACTGGCCCAAATAGTCACAGGCCCTTTGAGGTTACAGCGCTCAATGTACAGTTCCTTATATGTGAATGCCTCTAGTATGCACAAAGCCATCATGAATAATCTGTACAATTTGCCTAATATGTTAATTTCCTATGGTCAGTAGCTCCATACATTGGCCATCATTGGCAGCATTTTCCTGAAATACATCAATTAGAAGAATAACGCATTATGGTGACTAGGTAGAGTGGAGGAGCATGGGAAATTAACATTAGGCAAACTATGATAACATTTGGAGTAGGAATGTCATCCTCCTTCTTCCAAATGTTCACCATAGAGCCCCAAATGTTCTGCAATTCAAGTACTAAATATTTTTTTTAATGTGAACTTATGTTTTTAAAGTGAAAATGCGCATTTAGTGGGTCCTGATGCCCTTCTGCAAACCTTCTGTCAGAGGACACTCTTATCTATCCCACACTGCTCGGATCTCTGTCCAGCATTGCACAAGTAGGGTCCTGCATATCCTGTGCATGTACTGTATGTTGCCTACTTTATTCATTCCATTAGGATGTCTGTATACCACTTGCAAGAGAGACCTAAAACTGAAGAGGGCAAAATCTTGTGCAGCTGTGCTCTCGCCTCCAGAGTCCACCTTGTCTATGGAGTAAGTTTCAGCTTTCTGCTGCTGCGGTGGCAGGTTGGCATGGGGCAGACAAGTAAAAGACTGCTTACAGTGCCACTTATACACCAATCTGCCACATTATTATGACCACTGACAGGTAAAGTGAATAACATTGACTGTCTCATTACATTGGACCCTGAAAGTGGGTGGGAAATATTAGGCAGCAAGTGAACATGTTGTCCCTGAAGTTGATGTGTTGAAAGCAGAAAAAAATGGTGTAAAGATATGGGTAACTTTGACAAGGGCCAAATTGTAATGGCCAGATGACTGGGTCGGAGCTTATTTAAAACTGCAGTTCTTGTGGGATGTTCCCAGTGTGCAGTGGTCAGGGTCTATCACAAATGGTCAAAGAAAAAAAAAAACTGGCGCAATGGTGACAGGGTGGCCAAGGCTCACTGATGCACATGGAGAGGAATGGCTGGCCTATGTAGTTTTATCCAAGAGCTCAAATTGCTGAAAAAGTTTACACTGGTTCTGAAAAAAAGGGTGTCAGAACACACTGCAAATCGCAATTTGTTACAGACCGGTCAGGGTGCTAATGTTCACTCATCTCCACGGCCAAAAGTATCTACAATGGTTATGTGAGCATCAGAACTGGACTTACAGGGCAATGGAAGAAGGTGACCTGGTCTGAATTCAAGAATGGTTTAAGGAACACAACAATGCGATTGAGCTGTTGGCCTCCAAATTCTTCAGATTTTGATTCAATCGAGCAACCGTACAATGTGCTGGAAAAACATGTCCAATCGATGGAGGTCCCAGCAGCAACTTAGAATCATAATGTTATGGCTGATAGGTATAAAGCTTACCTGTCACCTTGTATAGTATGTCTAAAGTACAGGTTGCAGCAAGGAAAAAATCTTTGTTTTCTCTCCTAAGGTCCTCTTCTTGTCAGGAGACTGTCGCAGAATAGATGATATACTTTGATAAGTGGGAAAAGATTACTGTGCTCTGACTGTCAGTCAATCATTTTAATTTCTACTTTAATACTTTAATCTTTTGTTACAGGCTGTTGCTGATGAATACAACCGTCTAAAGGACATTAAATCGGTAAGTATAATTACAGTTTGAAGACATCTAATAATTTACTGTGGTTGTGGCCCTGTCCTACTTTGATCTGTTTTTTAAACCATTTTTATTTAAGTGGATGAGAGGATTACATAAAGACAGCCGTAAGAATAAATGACCTGGGGAGTCTTGGCCCTTTTGATGCCAGAGCTGTTTTTGTGCATGTTTTAAAAAAAAAAAAAAAAATAATAATAATTTTTGGCCTGAAGATTAGTTAAACTCCCTAAATCATATATTTTCTGAAAGTACAGACTCTGGAGAATAAAATAGTGGTAGTTACTTTTTTTTGTGTCACAATACTGGCGCAACAGTTTATCAAATCCAAATTTTCAAGAAAAAATACAGTTACCTAAAGTTTAACCGCTTCCATGCAGGGCACTTTTACCCCCTTCCTGCCCAGGCCATTTTTCAGCGCTCACACTTTGAATGACAATTGCGCGGTCATACAACACTGTACCCAAACTGAAATTTTATCATTTTCTTCACACAACTAGAGCTTTCTTTTGGTGGTATTTAATCAACACTGGGGTTTTTATTTTTTGCTAAATTAACAAAAAAAGACCGAAAATTTTGAAAAAAAACCCACGTTTTTCTTTGTTTCTGTTATAAAAGTTGGAAAATAAGTAATTTAAAAAAAAGTAAATTTAGGCCAAGATGTATTCTGCTACATGTCTTTGGTGAAAATAACCCAAATTAGGATGTATTTTTTAGTTTGTAGGAAAGTTATAGAGTTCACAAACTATGGGATATATCTGAATATTGATCAATCCTGAAGTACTGACAGCCAATCTAATTTCTTGAGGTCCAAGAATGTCAGAACAGTACAGATATCCCCCAAATGACCCCTTTTTGCATCGTAGACAGTCCAACTTATTTCATAAGAGGCATGTGGAGTTTTCTGAAGTTGTAATTTTTTTGTCATTTTTCGGAAAATGAAAAAATTAAAAAAATTACTTTCACTTTTTTTTTTTTACATACTGTCACCAGTGCAGTACAGCATCATCATATAACTGGCATGGCAGTGATCAGGGACACTGACTGGTGACAGTATGAAAAAAAAAAATATTATTTTTTAAGAATTTTGTATTAGTTTTAGATTTTTTTTTTCGATTTCTTTTTTTTTTTTTTGAGGTTTTTTTTCTTTTTTTTTAAGATTTTTTTTTTTTTTTCATATTTCACTATGACCAAAGTAGTATAATGTTACCATAGTAACATTGTACTACTTTGGGGAAGTGATCAGTGTGACGGGCGCGGCGTCAGAACCCAGCCCTTCTCACCAAACCCGTGACCGAAGGATTAGCCAATCTAACAATGCCACGCCCAGCTGCACCCTGCACAAAGATTTTCCAGCGAATTGGACCACAATCTATGTACCGGCAGCCTGGGAGCAATTGTTACTGGGTCAGGTTAATTACGCAATTAACCCTTCACACTGCCACCACCTCCTTTTTATACAGAGAAAGAGGAAACTCTGCAATACACTAGGATGATTGGTTAATCGACAGTATACCGCTATCTCTACAGACCGGTTATACAGAGGGTTAAACACTCATAGCGTTCTTCAGCGGCAGGGACTCGTAAGTTACATTCAGGAGCTATAGAAACAGTTCAACACTTTTAGAAAGTAAGATTTATTACTAAAAGGTCAAAAGGGCGCAGTAGAAATATTTACAGTAAGATGTTGTTTTTATATATATATATATATATATTTATATATACATACATACATACCACAGATAACAGAAGTTTAGGTAAATAAGTACTTGCCAAATAAATGCCTGGGGTTAAGCAGTTTCAAGTCTGATGAGCTGAAAAGGGATTTCTGGTCTTGCACTCGGTTTTCATTGTTGCAGCGAGATTTTCCTTTGCTTTCTGTCCGATAGCTGTTATATCGCAGATGGTCCTCACTTCTCTGACTACACACAAAACATAACAGCTTCTTTTTCTACACAAAATCAACTGGTATCTTCCTATCACGGACAAGCCAATACCTTATTTGGCAAAAGAATTGTTAGGTAGGGCTCAGCATCATATGCTGCTTGCATTCCTGAGGGAGGGGGAATGAGGGGATAACGTCTGCTCTAGTACAAAAATGCAGAAGTTTGGGGTAAAATGGAGAACCCTGGCGCAATGGTGACAGGGTGGCCAAGGCTCACTGATGCACATGGAGAGGAATGGCTGGCCTATGTAGTTTTATCCAAGAGCTCAAATTGCTGAAAAAGTTTACACTGGTTCTGAAAAAAAGGGTGTCAGAACACACTGCAAATCGCAATTTGTTACAGACCGGTCAGGGTGCTAATGTTCACTCATCTCCACGGCCAAAAGTATCTACAATGGTTATGTGAGCATCAGAACTGGACTTACAGGGCAATGGAAGAAGGTGACCTGGTCTGAATTCAAGAATGGTTTAAGGAACACAACAATGCGATTGAGCTGTTGGCCTCCAAATTCTTCAGATTTTGATTCAATCGAGCAACCGTACAATGTGCTGGAAAAACATGTCCATGCAGCGAGATTTTCCTTTGCTTTCTGTCCGATAGCTGTTATATCGCAGATGGTCCTCACTTCTCTGACTACACACAAAACATAACAGCTTCTTTTTCTACACAAAAGCAGTTTCAAGTCTGATGAGCTGAAAAGGGATTTCTGGTCTTGCACTCGGTTTCATTGTTGCAGCGAGATTTTCCTTTGCTTTCTGTCCGATAGCTGTTATATCGCAGATGGTCCTCACTTCTCTGACTACACACAAAACATAACAGCTTCTTTTTCTACACAAAATCAACTGGTATCTTCCTATCACGGACAAGCCAATACCTTATTTGGCAAAAGAATTGTTAGGTAGGGCTCAGCATCATATGCTGCTTGCATTCCTGAGGGAGGGGGAATGAGGGGATAACGTCTGCTCTAGTACAAAAATGCAGAAGTTTGGGGTAAAATGGAGAACCGCACTTCTCTCTGTGAGCAGGATTGTGACAATCGGTATTTATTTTTTTACACAATTTGCTTATAGCAAAGAATTACTTTGCTATAAGCAAGCATTTACCTGAATGACATCGATTCATTCAGGGTTTTTTTTTTTTGTGCTTAGCTGTGATTTGGCCACGGTTAATCACATGACACAGCTGGGCTGTGATTGGCCCAGCTTGTGCATGTGATTGCTGTGACCATTCACAGCTAGACACACTAGTATACAATGGATGGCATGAAAGGAAGCCATCCATTGTATACAACTGACATGTGACCTGCTGTGATTGGTCACAGCAGGTCACATGGTACTGGCAACGGGGCCGGTACTCAGATCTGTCATCGGCCGTGTCCGAGGTACACGCCCGGTGACAGATTGCGCTGCTGCGCAGCTCTGCAGGCATGCAAACTGCGCATGCCTGAAAGGATGCCATATGGCGTCCACCCGGAGGGACGAGGGGTTTTGCAGGCCGCCATCTGGCTATAGGCCGGGCGGGAACCTGTTAACTTTAAGGCACACAAATCCATTACCCAATTTTTAGGTAAAACATAAAAGATGAGGTTGTGCAGAGTAAATGGATACCCAACATATTAATCCCTAAGACTGTGCGCCCATGAAACAGCAACAAACTTCCATATCCTAAATTTTCAATAGGCGACGCTTTAAAAACCTGTACAGGTCACCAGTTTAGCGTTGATCACGAACAAGCTAGCTTAGAATTATTGTTCTTACTCTTATTTGCATGGAAATATGTAATGTGTATTGCAAGCAATATTTTTGTGTGTAGGCACCCCTGGTGGGTACATTTTTTTATTTTTAACGTGCGTATTTACATGGAAACAAACATATTTTGAGGGGTTTAAGTGCTTGGGTGTAACTTTGAGGTTTTTTTTCACTAAAACTTTATATCGCAGAGGGGATTGAAAGGCTCTTTTTGCAATGTCATGTTGTGGCAAGTTCTGCAATGTCATGTTGTGGCAAGAGACCTCCCCTGATGTTCTCATCTGCCCTCTTAAAGCTAGTGGAGTGCAGATTCTGATAGGAACATCAGAAACTGCGAGTGACGTTGACGTTTAAACATGTTGCTTTGGGATCTTACTAGTTATTAAGATCAGCGAATGGAATACATGGCAGGTTGGTGTTGACATGGCGCACGTCCAGGCTTCTATGAAAGTGATCAGATGGATGTAGAGACCATGTATATTTCTTTTAGTAGGCATTTCCTTTAAATATTTATCCTAGAGAGGTGTCCTGTTAATAGGAACCTGCTACAAAAATGGAAGCTGCCATTATTGACTTGTTTGCAAATGTAGAAGGTCCAGGGCTGATGGCCCTATGCTCCTTCTTTATTGAATGTGTCACTGACTCAGGTAAGTATGTTCATCTCAGGAGTTCTAAGGCTACGTTCACACTTGCGTTGTGTGCAGGCGGCAGAGAGGCGTTTGGGAAGCGTTTTTACCGCTTCCCAAATGCCTCTGCCAATTCTGCACATTACAGCACATGGTGCTGTTCTAACGGGAGCGTTTGCTTCGCGTCGCGTTGCGTCGCAGCAAAACGGACGCCTCTGGTCGAGTCAGGAGGCGTTGAAGCCTCCTATTCTCGTCTATGGTGCTGCTCCGCAAACTCCCGGCCGGCGTTTGCGGGGCGTTTGTGGAGCGGTAACACCACTCAAACTGCATTGTATGCGTTTGTGGGGCGTTAACGATCGGCAAACGCTTAGCAACCGCCGCTAAACCTCGCATGCGGCGTTTGCCGAGCGTTAAAAACGCTCCGCAAACGCTGGACCAACGCTTGCCAAACGCTATAGAAGCGTTTGGCAAGCGTTGGTAAAACAGCCAAGTGGGAACGAGCCCTAGCTCTCCGTTGGCTGGAAAATGCTCTTGTATTAAAGGCTTACTATGTAGTAAGGCAAGAAATAGAGTTTCAGAGGATAGCTTCCATCACAAACTGCTCTATACATTCATCCTAAAAGGTTTTTTTAAATATGAAAGTTTAGCTACTCATATAAACCCTGTTGTTTATTTAAAAAATGCACTGTATACAATATTACATCCCTGTCATTAATATGAAACGCAGATCTGATTTTTTTTTTTTTTTTTTTCTTATCCAGTCCTGGCATGGTTCCAGTGCCTAGAACTGTTTGTCTTGGAATGTTTTCCAGGCACATGTTGTTATAGTCGGTGTTCTCCTGACATCAGGAATGTTGTCCACACCTTACTGCAACAATACAAAATATCATGTATCTGTTACAAATCTTTAGTACATGAAAATGTTCTCATACTTTAAACCTGCAACCTGTTTTCCTGCTGTCTAATTCTTCTTAAAGTCAGTGACTGAATTGCTAGAAGGGCACAAAAGCAGTTTAAGGGCTCGTTCACATGGGCGTACTTAAGAGTGTACTCTGTGCATGAAGGTAAAAAAAAAAAACCTACCCGAGTTCCATCTCCTACCTCCCATCGATGTGCATGAGAGCAGCGGCTCTCCCTGGTGTCGCTCTCTCCTCATTGGCTCACACAGAAGTGGGAGCCATTGACTCCTGCTGTCAATCACAGCCAATGAGAAGAAATTAGCTTTTAATGTGGTTTTTTTTTTTTTTCCTTGATATTTTGCATTTGATAAACTGTCGTGCAAATATTGTGTAACTTAAAAAAATCTGAACTATCCATATTTATTCTCGAGGGTCTCTGCTTTCAGAACATATATAATTTTGGGGGGTTTTAACTAATCTTCAGGCCTAAAATGATTTTTAAACGTGCATAAAAACACAGAAAAGGTTTTAGCAGCTTAATGGTTAAACTATCAGTCTACAGAATTCAACAGGCATTTTTGAATGTCTTTGTTCTAGTTAAGGACCGAGTGCCTAAACACAGTCCTCCCCATATCCAGATGCAAACAGGAGAGAAGTCATCCTAGGCCTGAGCAGGGGCGGACTGACAACTCATGGGGCCCCCGGGCAATAGGGGATCATGGGGCCCCTGTGTCCTTGCCCACACTCAAAAAAGCCTATAAAAAAGGTACCAGGGGCATTTCATGGGGCCTCCTATTGACCCCGGGCCCTCGGGCAGTGCCAGAGTGCTCAAATGGTCAGTCCGCCCCTGGGCCTGAGTCATATTAGAGGAAGGGCCCTGGGGTCACTGTATCCCCTGGCCATCTGTTTTAATCAGCTCTGAATGTAAAGGGCAGCTCCAGTGGCAACCAAATAGCATCCATTTACTGTAGTCATAGAAGTACATATAGTACATCTCGTTTCTGTAGGTTATTGCATTGTGTTTGTAGTAATCAAAGGCTGTTGTTGCTAAGAATTACCATGTATGCAGTGTGTCCTAAAAATGAGAATGCTACACTGTTAATCAATAAAAAGAGGATGCGCTAATCATATTTATGGGAAAACATTTTTTAAGAAATAGAGGTTTACTAATTACAGTTGGAATCTTTTGGTTACGATGCAATAAGCCTTTTTTTTTTTTCCTTCCAGTCTTCAGATTTCAAGAACAAACGGAACCGCTGCAGACAGCTCAAGACCAAACTAAACCACATCAAAAGTATGGTCAGCGACTTTGACAGCAACAAATAGCCACCTGGACTTTCATGCTGACAACACAAGCCAAACTTTTTTTAGCCTAGGCTATCAAATTTTTGTATTAATGTGGTTGAGCCACGTGTGGGATTTGGTAATGGCTCAGGCGTGTCACAAATAGATTTCATATGTTTCTATGAATAAGCTTTAGATCTATTTTCTCTTTTAAACTTTTATGTTCCATTTTTAAAAAATATAAATGTGCATTTATAAGTCCTATGTAATATCTGAGCTTCCATTTATGGGTGCAGAACATCTCTAAACTGGCATCATATTTGGTCTCCTAAAACCACAATGAGCCAACTGTGCATATCTTTTTATAGTTGTTAAAATGCATGTACTCATTGGGGTTAATTTACTAAAATTGGAGAGTGCAAAATCTGGTGCAGCTGTGCATAGTAGCCAATCCGCTTCCAGGTTAAAGCTTAAGGCCTCTTTCACACGAGCAGACCGACCTTTGTCCATGTTACATGTGCCTGCATCCGATCCGGTCTAAAAACAGATGGTTGGGGATCTGTTCCCCGTCCGTCTGACAGATCGGATTGGATGACATTCGGATGGAAACACAGGCAGCCCGTTTCCATCTGACAGCCCATAGAAGACAGTGGGCTGTGTCTATGTCCATTATGTGTAAGCGGAGCAGACATAGACCTTCATCTGCTTGCTCAGCGGGCAGATCCACTGACTGATCTGCCCCATATGAAAGGGGCCTTACTGAACAAGCTAAAGTTAGAAGCTGATTGGCTACCATGCACAGCTGCACCAGATTTTACACTCTCCAGTTTTCGCCATTTTCAACTTGCACTGTCCCATTTCAAGTAAGAATGTGTGTAAATATATATTTTGCATTGAGGGCAAACCTTTAGAATGTGGATGAATAAAGCATAAAGCAAAATGTTTTATAATTTAAGGTATGCTACACAATCTGAGGGATAGCAATTTTAGATGGCATCTAACGTTTTTTTTTTTTTGTTTTTTTTTTTGCCAAGATATGGCAGTGTCTCAGTGCATTCTAGACTATAGCTGTACAACTTGGACTTTTTTTTAAAATTCTGCCTACTGTACAAACTGTTGGGGATTTTTGTTCACTGTGTTTGCATACTTGATTGTATGAGGAAATCCATAGCTGCATTCTGTTGGTTGGAATAAGTAGTTCATGATGCATGTGCTGTCAGATGTGTGTGTCAAAACAAAAGCTAAATTTAAAAATCAAAAGGTGTGGTTAAGGAATTAGCAGAGATGGGTAACACAGAGAGCAATCAGAATTTGCGTTGACTACTAGTTTGAAATATGGTTCCCATATTATAATCCTGACATCACCTTCCAGAATAAGCCAGGCGGTGACCACATGTACTGCAGTAGTGTCTGTGTGCCATCAAGCCATTGTGCTTGTTATCATGGTTATACCTAAAATTCACAAATGCAATGTTCATTACAGGAGTATTTAATTTTGTTATATAGTAAAGGGCTAAAATATATGAATGTTTCCTATCATTTTAATAGTTGTCTATTTGGTTTTGTGAATTATGACTTAGCCCAAAATAATATGTATTATTTTTTTCTCTTTTGTACTTTGCTAGGTGTAAGTCACTGAAATCAGTGTATGACAGCTATGCTATAATGAATGTAAAGACAACTGTTTTTTTTTGTTTTGTATATACGGATTTTAGATTTGTAGGTTTTTAAGGTTTTTTTTTTTTTTTTTTTTTTTAAATGTGTGTATATATATGTTTTTTCTTTGCAGTGTTCTTTTATTGTGGTGATTCAACATACCATAGGATTGTTACAGATATAAAGAATGTGTATTACTACTTCAGTTATGATACAATGTTATAACCTTTTCAAATGCAGACCATGGATGTGTATCTTATGTGAACTGTGATAATAAATGTTTATAATAAGATTCTATTTCAAATGTGGTGATTGTTTTTAATTTATGATTTATTTTATTTAAACATGTTTATGTATGTTCTTAACTTTGCATGCCTTTTTTTTTTGTTTTTACACACCATTGTTTTTATTTAATAAAAATATAAAAGGCAGCCTGTTAACATAATTCTAAACATGAATATGATCAAGAGTACAGATCCAATGGAAGCAAGTACAATCCTGTAACTAAACCATTGTAGCAACCAAAAGCTAGCCGATCTTCATGAAGCCCATGACCAGCATTTTCATCTCATTGTTTTCTTGCCATGGAGAGATTTATTATAGCTTTAAGAGAGGGGATGCAAAATCTATTTAGTTGGATATGAAAACAGTCTGAGGGTAGAAAGGAAAGGTCCAATATAAAATAAAATAAAAAAAGATGAGAGGGGAGGCTAAAAAAGGATGGATGGGGGAGATAGGATTGGTAAGAGGATCCCATGTTCAGGCTAAAAGACTACAATGTGCTAATGTTTTATAAAGGCAGTGGAAGATAAGGCCATGCGATTCACCTCAAGGCTCAGAACTTCTCTTCCCCATGAAAGCAATCTATGGGATCCATCTATCCCGAAAGGTTTTGTATGTGTACTGCTGGTGAGCGATCAGTCAGAAAGACGTTGGTGTACCAGTGTCTAGGGCAGCAATGGGCAAACTACGGCCCGCGGGCCGTATACGTCCCGACGGACCTTTTAATCCGGCCCGCGGAGCTAGGCTCCCGCTAGGCTCCTCTCACAGTCCGCCCTGAAGACCGGTGTAGCATGAAAATCTGTCTCCTATGAGGATCTGTCCCCCTCGACGTATCTGCGCATGTGCCGGAGATCGCCGATCGGCTGCTAATGCCTGAAACTGGCACATGCGCAGATACGTCGAGGGGGACAGATCCTCATAGGAGACAGATTTTCATGCTACACCGGAACGGCGCGGGAACACGGCGAGAGGAACGCGCGGAGCAAAGGTAAGTGAATTGACACAGGGGGGACTTGGAGACTTAATATAGGGAATGAATTACTATAGGGGGGATGAATTACTATATGGGGGATGAATTACTATATGGGGGGATGAATTACTATATGGGGGATGAATTACTATAGGGGGGATGAATTACTATATGGGGGATGAATTACTATGGGGGATGAATTACTATGCTTACTATGGGGGAATATTACTATACTTACTATGGATGACACATACACATCATTCATCTACTCTTGGTCCGGCCCCCGGGTCCAATATATGAACCCATTGCGGCCCTCAAGTCAAAAAGTTTGTCCACCCCTGGTCTAGGGATAAGGGCTCTGGACTTTATATAGAGATTTCTTTGCACAAGATTTTGACCCTGAGAATCTTGAAAGTATAACTAAGGTAAACATTTAATGGTGAGAAAGTTACTGGTGTATGGATCTGGGCATTTTTTTCCAAGAAAGGTTTCAATAAGGGGCAGTTCCACCAATTTGAGAGTACCAATTTAATTTTAATGGTGCCAACAACTGTTGGATTTGTGTAGGTATATGTGGTTTAGTTTACCAGGAGAAAGATGCCAACAGGTTTGCGCTGAATGTTTGAAGTCTACCCACATATGTAGATTTTATTTTCTTGAAGTAGTTGGTAATTTTTTTTAGTGTTTTTTTTTTTTTTTTTTTTTCCCCCGCCATAGCCAACCTCTTTAAAGCAGCGTTCCACCCAAAAGGAAAGTAAAGGGACTGACCGGAATACCAGGGATTTCGCATAAAACCAGCAATACAAATGGAATAGGATAATTGTTTCATACGAGTGCATGGTATAGCGGACACACATCAGGAGTAAATATTGGGTTTACAAATTTTTTTAATACTGACTTCACATGAAGGACAGTGATGATAATCACAATACTTGTATCTTGATATATTTTTAATTGCTGTAAAAAGAATTTTTTTTAAAGTCTCTCAACGTGGCCAAAAAAAGCTCAGCTCCTAAAAATAACAATGATTTGAGCAATTTATTGCATGACTAAAAATTCTCAAAATAGGCTGCTAATTAACTTCCCTATTTAATTCTATAGTGTTTGCTAGACAATTGCATCTTTGATTATCTGCACTTTGTGATTTTGAAATGTACCAATTATTCATGATTAGTGGTAGCAAAAGTCTCTGCCTGATGAATATTGTAATTGTTCTTAAAGTGAGTGGATGCAGTTAAAGGATAAGTTCATCTTTAGAACTTGTTACACCCGTATTTGGGGTGTAACATATTCTAGCATTCCCCCACCTCCTGAAGTGACAGCGAGCAGGGGTTCCTGTCCTCCACAGCAGCTGTCACTTTTAGGCCTCATGCGAACTGGACTTTTTTTTTTTTTTTTTTTTTTTAAATCATTCCAGCAGCATGATAGGAAGACAGTGCTCCTCTATGTAGGCTCACTAATCCAACACCCCACACTTCTTCGTGTGTGCTGACCCAGTTCACACATCTGTGGCAAAGGAAAATCCTGAAAGTCACACTGATATACATGTCCACTTTATAGTTCTAGAAACAGCATATAAACACCATGCAATATACCACTGGCAACGTCTGATGTCACTGTCTGATGTTACCTTAGATGCATTTCGTCATCACGGCTTTCACAAATAAATTGCTGAGGAACTGAACTGAGATTGATATCCTTGATAAAGTCAGTGAGGCAGGTGAAGTTTGCTAGTGGTGGTCTTCACCACTAGCAAACTTCATCTGCGTCGCTGAGGAACTGATCTGAGATTGATATCCTTTGATAAAGTAGTGATGATGAAATGCGTCAGCTGTTTCTAGAGGTGTAGTGGTGGCAATTTTGGATGAGGTTTGGTCTTAGAATACATTGTGATGGAGATACGGTTTTAAGGAACACACAAATGCTGATGTTTACTCTGCATTCTGTAAGCACTTTTCTATTAATAAACTAAGAGCTTAAAGTTGGTACGTGACAATTGCTTAGTCTTTTTCCAGGCATACACTATCATTGTCATTGAAGAATTGAAAGCCACAGTTCTTGGAGCGGAGCTTATTTGATCAAAGCCTCTGTCCCCTGTCATTCTGGTAAGGTGCATGGATTGACAGGTGTTGGA